ACTGTCTACATTAAGCTGAAGCCAATATTGGCAACACACACCAAGGCAGTTTGTTTTTTATTTTAATGTTTTTTTAGATATCTATTGTATGAATTTATTGTGTAAATGACATGTGTCATCAAAATAAAAAATTTAAAAAACTAATATGTAATTGCGAGTGACCGAATGTAATTCCCTTTAATAAAGAGCTTTATTTCCAATAATTTTGTGTATCAATTTAATCAATTGTATAGATATAGATGTAACAGAGTCTGGCATGGCAAATAAAAAAAACAAAAGAAAAAATTTGATTTATTTGTAATATAAATTGTTGTGAAAATATTAATTTATTTAGTGAAAATGCCTAAAAAGCCTTTGATATCTCTAGCAAGAAATATAGTTTTTAATGTTTGTAACAAAATCTGTGAAGAAAGCTAAAGAATTTTTATTTTTTAATTTAAATTGTTTTTATGAATTAACTAGTAACTATGACTGACTCTTGATACTTAATTTTCTTAAATAAGTTATTTGTAAATATTCCTTGGTGTGTAGACTACTACAATAAAACAAATTATTACTGAAGATATGAATTTTACATTTTTCTACACTGGGTAAAAACACAAACTATGAAAGAAGAATTTAAAATATTACAAGTATCAAGACATCTTTATCCTTTTACCCAATGTTGCTTTCTACAAATTTCAATTTCTCAATTTGCAATCAGATTCTGGTACACCTATACACATCAACTTACAAGCATTAAACCACAAGATATATAAAATGTATTTCTGTTTTTGCCGCGATTTACTTACCATAAGCAAAAAACACTATATTATTGTAAAAAATACCAACATCAAAAAGTATTCATAAAGAAAACATCAATTCTCTTATTAGATTCTATAAATTACTATACATTACAACGAGTAATATCTTTCTAAAATATACTTACATCAATAGAATAACATTTGAATAACATTTCTGTGTAAATTTCTTGATTTTCATTGTATTTTTGCGATACAAGCATACTCTTAACTGCGCCTTCTTTTAAACACAAATTGCACACGCCTATTAAAGGCAGAGTTTCCACCATGATTTCTGTATCCATTTTTGAGATTTTACCTCAAAACATTAAAATAAATTAACTACGTAATCATATCAAAAAGTATTCAAAATAAATTCAGCTAATCTGAAAGAAAACGACGACATGACATGTTTGACAATGGCTTGACATTTCTTTTTTTACCGAATCTTGACGTTTTGTTTTTTAAATATATACCACTATGAAGTACCTACTTGGTTCAAATCACAAGTATCGAGTGCTTATATCGAATAATGATACAAGTCAATCAGTGACTTTATGTACAGTGAACAGCATGTCAGGCTATTCAAATATGTCAAATTACTTAAGCCTAATTTCTTTTGCAATAGGATTTAATTTTACTTGCGGAATTTTGACATATTTTGTGCTGGATTTTTACTCAAAACACGATTCCGTAAAAATCCGAACCCGAATGCGAATCACTATGTGTCCGAATCACGTCATTTAGTGAAGAAATTCTATTGATTTCATTTTTTGTATAAAAATAACGCCACGAAACGTTATTACCAATGAGGAAGTATTTAAACAAAAGAAAGCACTAAAAAAGCACCTCCACTAGATGGCGACTCTAGCAAAAGTTGATTTTTGCAGGAAACGAATGGACCACAGACAGTCATTTCCGTTCCTTTTAACTATCATATTAAAAAACTGAAATTTCAAAGTTCAAAACTTAAATATCAATACAAATACGAAAAAGAGTATGAATATGAGTTGTTAATTGAGTTTTGAAAACTAATTTACTTTTAAACATGAAAGAAAACCGGAAAGGTTGTCATGGAGAAATCAAGAACGTACCGTAGCGACATCTAGTTTGATTTCGAGAACTAATGTTTTTTTTATAAATACTTCCTAATTAATGTATTTTAAAGATAAAAGTATACTGTGTTTCTTGCCATCAGCTGATACCAAAATGAAAACCCCAGATTAAAGAAAATCAAATTAAGATAAATCGGTTGTACTAACTAAATAAGTTTCTGACACCAGTAAGTAGAACAGTTTTTTTTAATAAATCGAAATTCATCAATTAATCACGTCAATCAAGACTTCTATAATACCCGACATTTCAGGCTCAGAATCATGCCCGTCGCTGCTGGAACCAATTTTTAGTACCTATATTCAAATAAGGTAATTTAGCGTATTACAACTTTATACAATTCTTAATACTGAAATATTGCGTGCTGTCACTTCCATCACAGTCTAGTAGTGACGAGTTTTGGCGGCGATCACACATTGGTTTCTTGATTGGTTAAATTCGTAAACACGAAATATACGGAGGCGCATAATTTAAATAGTGTATGTGTACATTTGTAACGGTTATTCTATAGTTTTATGGAAATATCGCAGGATTATGATAATGCAGAACTTTCATCTAGATCCGGAGGATGATCAAAATCATATTGGGAGCAAATAAAGTTTTTTAAGACATGAACTGAACTAAACAGTCTATAAGGTCACTATTGTGGGTCAGGTGATAGGTTAGAAATTTAAGACGGTAGTAAAGCGAATGTCTTTATTATAATTTATTTTTTGATACTCGTTTCATGATAATAACATAATGAAACCTAGGAAAATAAAAAACAAAGTTAATGGTCGATAATTTTTATTTATACGAAAATGAAATAAACATCTTTATACTATGGATACAATGCAGATTAAATCAACATGATTGGAAATAATAAAAAAAAACTATATCGCTTAATTTCGATATTCTAATTGACTGATGGAACGACGTTTAGTGGAGTAAATATTATACTATTCTTATCATCTATATTTGTACAATACTACTTACACAATGAGTAAGAAAATAATTATGAAATAACTAATTTGCATTATGGAATATGTAATTGTAACCTTTTTTGTTCCATATAATATACAGGCAAAAAAAATATCATATACTGACTACAACTTGATCCTTAGGTATGGCCTTATAAAAAAAAAGGACAGCCAAAAAGAGCGGGAAATATTGAAAATGAGTTTTATTTTTTAACTTTGCATACTGCGTTTACACATCAATACCAAGGAGTTTCTTGTCGAATATGAACTCGCCAAGCGATGAATGACGGTCGAGCATTTTCTTGAGGGTGGACGCTTTGCCGGCGAGGTCACGTTGGCCCTTGTATTGTTCTTCCAAGAATTCGCCAGTCAAATAGTCGACCAGCTGAAAAGATATAAAAAGGGTTTAGGATAAAATATTCTTATTGAATTGGATTTCTATGGCGATATAAGATATTATATGTTATCCAATATTAAAGTGGGCTCCAAAAACTACCTTGGGGCACTTTTTTGGTGTTATGGTATTTTATGTAGGGTAATGCTATAAACATTTCTAATACAACGACTATCAAACTAACTTATTCAATCCTGTAATACCTAGTTTACCATTATTTATTAAACTTAGTGCTTTACAGAATCCAAAGCCTTACTCATTTCGAAAATTGTTACAATGAGGTTTTGTACTACAAAGTAATTAGAAAGTCAGCTGCAAATTCCAATATACATAAATTACTTCATAATTTTGGAAATTTAATTATCTTTAATAAAGTTATGACGTCATCTCACATGATAGTCGTTGAACTCGTTATCGTCCTCGCAGGCGTGAATGACAGTACGGATGCTCTTAGTGACGTCAGACTCCATCTTCAAGGCGTGTTCCAAGGCTTCTACGCCGTTATCCCATGTTTTACGCTCCGGGGGCTAAAAAAAATCACGTGTCTCTCTCAACAAGTTTCCAAATTTCTTAATCTCTAAAAATACTAGTAGAATGGGGTTAAAGTATTTTGATTCATCAATAGAGGCGCTAGTGTAGCGTAAAATCTTTAAAATGTCAAATATCATATTTTGTCAGTGAACCACGCGCGCTTTTTTTTTCAAATAAAGGAATTTTGCGCTCATTTTGCGGTACCTGAGATTTATTAAAGCAATTATGAATTATGAGTCAATGAATGTTAAAAACCGAGATAAGAAGAAAAGATGCAAAAATTAAGTGGGATGAAAGAACAGCTTAATCAGAGATTGGTGTTTATTAGGCATGTTTGATATTTTTAATAAAATAGTTTATTTATGTATAATGATGTACGAATGAAGTTCGATCTCGTAGTAAACAAACTTGACGGAACCTCTCGCCTGTTGCACCATCTGGTGAGCGAAAAACGGTAGCCCTCTCGAGAGAATAATTATGTTATTTGATCGATGAGTGGAACCAAAATCTGTGAGCGAAATTAACCGATAATTTGAATAGAAACCGTTTTTGATCAGAAGTGGAATAATTTCGATTCGAAATAACCGAAACGCAAATGAAAACATTAAAAAAGTATGGAGTTAATTATTACGAACCGTTCAATGATATAACCAGTTTCCCGAGCCCTGTTGGGATTACGTTAACAAAATATAATAGTCGATCACTTACCCTGATGGTGATAAGGGATGTGACGTCAGAAGTGAGTTCTCCCCTCATCAGAAGATATTCGATCAATTTCATGGCATGCTCGCGTTCTTCTGAGCCGGCTTCGAAGAACAATTTAGCGAAACCTGGCCGGTTCACCTAAAAAGAAAAAATAACATAGCACAAGGAAAAATAAACTATTTTTTTAGCTATTGGCGCTTTGGTGTCATATAAATCATTGTTTATGTGAGTTATGATGTAGTCTCAGTAATATTTTTCTTTATTATTTTCTAGCCACGTCACCAGGCCGCGTGATTAAGCTTCCAGTAAACGAAAGAACTTTTATGATCGAGTCAGTATTTCCGAAGATTAGCCACTAGAAGCAAACAAATACAGTTAAATATCTTTTTATAATCATTTTCAATATAAATACTAACTTATAGATCGTGGTTTGGATCGTAAAAGTGGTGTAGCTTTGCCAAACAAATTTTCATTTATGTGAACAATAGCCTGTACTAGGGCTCATACAAATTTGTTAATTTGCGATTTCCTAAGGAACTCTCTATGGTTTTATACAAAATAATATTTTCATGCCGGTATACCTATTGATACTAATACCTACATTTTATCATGTTTAATTATGTACGTACAAAATACAAAAGTACCTAATTATAGCTTTGCTCTAAATCGGTTCATGCAAACGCATGCCAACTGTTTTTTCTCAAAGTGTCTCAATCTCTATAAATATATAGTTAATCATAAAAGGTAATAAATGGAAAAGAGACAATTGCGACGTCACGGATAGGGTTGCCATCTCCTCCGGAACTTCGGGAGCCTCCCGGAAAAAGGCATTAGATTTAGAAATCTTACGACTCCAGATATACAGCTAAAATCACCCCGACTTGCGACTGATGTTTGAATTATTTGACTAAGTGGTACGAATTTGACAACAATGGACATGGATAAAAATAGACGAAGAAATTAACTGGCTGGGTGATTCTCCGAATGTAAGAATAAATAAGGACATATTGGAGCGTGTGACGTGTTTAAAGATTTGATATCATTGGGTGGAACGAAATGTAATAAGGAAAGGAAGAGTTGACACTCTTTCTTCTCTCTTCTGTTCCGGCAAGAGAAAAGATGGTAGAGCTACGAGAGATCACAAGTGAAAGATATACGGTATATTATATTAATAATTACAATAGCAATGATAAGATTCGGAGGAAAGAAAAGTCGATGTTACATGCTATCTCTTAGAACTTACAGAGTCTTTAGAGAAGTGCGCCCCCATAGCGAGGTATTGAAGCGATGCAGCCACCTCCATCTGTATCTGACGCCGCATGGAGTCGCGGCAGGGTCTGTGCATCGTGATCCATTCCTTCGGGATATTGACTGGGTTCACGTGGCCTACGAATAGTGATAGAATTGTGTAAATTAATATATTAGATCAATTAATAAATCAACAGTTTAATTAGAGCATATATTCTACTTATTAGAAAGTTTTAAATGTAAAAATAGTAGAACTGTTTGAGAGAATTGCCTGTAACTTGATGAAAATACGCTCAAAGTATACTTTCAGTAACTTTACTTTGAGCGTAATTTGTTTTCAGTAACAAGTGCTTGAAAAATTTAAGTAGCTAAATGGAAAGAGCTGGTTTGCAAAAAGATATAGGTTCGAATTCCATCTTAAGTACTGGGAATTTTGAGATATTTTTAATAATAAATTAGAATTTATTTATTTGTAAAATAAAGATAGATACAGTCATTGTTACTTTTTTATGTTGAGTAAAAAATAAAAATAAGTCAAAACAACGGAATATTCCTTCCCTTAACCATTAAGTTTCATCATAATCCTTTACCAGTCTAATGTCTCCGCTACCGGAGCATAATCCTTCTCTAATCATCACCAGCCCTTTTACGTTCCCACTGCAGGGGCTCAGGCCTTCCTTATGGATGGTTAAGGAGGATGGGCCATGACCCTTCACGCTGCCTCAATGCGGATTGGAGGGTATTAACGACTGCAAATGCACCCGGGACCAACGGCTTAACGTGCCTTCCGAAGCACGGAGTAGCTCGAGATAATAATTTTTTGGTCACCCATCCCGTGGCTGACCCTTGCGAAAGTTGCTTAACGACTACGATCGCGGGTCGCGGCGCTTATTCACAAGACTCATCACGTGGAGCCAATACGGAAAGGTGGCTGTAAACGACAGCAGATGCAGCTGGGATAAACGACTAGACGTGCCTTCCAAAGCACGGCGGAGACAACAACATTTTGGTCGGTATCCTATAACCTTTCAAACAATAGGTCGTAAGCGTATTTAACGGTCATTTTTTGTAAGGAATTTAGAGATTAATAAATATTAAATATTTAATACAGCAACAACTTCTGTTTCTTTCGAATATAAATTCAAACAAAACATAGTTCGTGAGCTCATTGTTCCGTTTGAAAACCTAGTTGAATGGATTGACCTTTTACCTAATACTATAAAAAAAAAAACTAACTGGCTTTTACACTTATATTCTTATTCCTTCCTTGAAAATTATATTATTACAAACATACATTTATCGATCCTTAATAGGGATGATGACTAATTTTTGTTTGTTTGTCCGTCAGGTAGAGTGTTAAAAAATATTAGGCACGTATTTTTTTCGTAATCATAAAATGACGGCGTTACATGGAGTTGAAATTTCGCATGAAGTCACGTTAGGGTACGTTTTCTACTCAACTGTAACGTAACGAACCCCCACTTCTCAACTTTAATGCCTGTTATCTAAGCTATTTCTTGTTAAATTAAAGTAAAAAAAAATACCTATCTAATATTTTTCTATTATCTGACTGACGTTTAGTGAAATGCAGAATTGCATTTTTTTTACCCAGTCATCATCCCTATTATACGTGAAGCAATAACTCACGCGATAACTTTTATAATACTATCAAGTGAAAACATCTTACTGTAATATTATAAACGCGAAAATATGTAAGTTTGGATGTTTGTTACTTCTTCATGCAAAAACTAATGAACGGATTTTGATGAAATTTGGTATACGGATAATTCTTAACCTGGATTAACATATAGGCTACTTTTTGTCGCACTTAACAGTTGCCCTAGGCACCACGCGGGCGAAGCCGCTGGTCGAAAGCTAGTATATACAGGGTTATGAGTATCAGACCGGATCCTTTCAAGGGGTCGTAGGGGAGGTCATTTATAATTATTTTCACCCAACATTGTATATCTTAGCGGCGTGTGTATTGTTATATATCGCTGATTTGACGTCACTTGCAAGAGTCTAAACGTAAGACGCTAATATCTTTGAAAGAGATATTGAGAAACGTTAAACGAAAGAGTTGTATGCTAAATTAAATAAAAAGTTTGCATTCACAATACTATATTAATATTTATCTTGAAAGAAAATACTTAAAAAACAAAGACGCCACATGGCCTCATCTCAGATGTCATTTGAATCTTTTTCAATTGCTATGATCTCGAGATAACTCGTCAGTTATCGGACACGTACAGTCTAGCATCTATGTGACATTGTACACTCACAATGGTTTTATCGATGAATTGACATATACATGTATAGATATGACATTGGCATATTTAGTTGCTAACGATTGATATAAAATAATATTTTTCCACTTCTGAATATATTATTAACACTTATGAGCTTGATAACGTACTGAAAAAGGTTTCTGCGATTTTATAAAGGTCATAGTCATAAAGAGAAATGGAGGTATCCGTATTTAGAAAGCATGATAAGACTTCACCTATTAATTTATTGTTAACTAGCTTTTCGCCAGCGGCTTTGCTCGCGTTTACACGGTGAATGGCCAGTACACTTATCCCAACTGAACCTAAGTGGGATAAAACATAGCATTTATGTTAATTCAGGTTCAGAATTATCCGGATACCAATTTCCATCAAAATCCGTTTATTGGTTTTTGCGTGAAAGAGTAATAGAATTTATCGTCCCCATTACAAGGGCGCAGACCATCCTTATGGATGGTTGGATGGTTAAGGAGGGCCTAGACCACGCTGACCCAATGCGGATTAGAAGGTATTAACGACTGCAAATGCAGCCAGGACCAACGGCTTAACGTACCTTACGAAGCACGGAGTAGCTCGAGACAAAAAATTTTTGGACACCCATCCCGTGACCTACCATTGTGAAAGTTGCCTAACAACAACGATCGCCGGCCGCGGCGCTTATCCACTACGCTACCGAGTTACTCATTAACTTACATTCTCAGAAAATTTCGCATTTGTAATATTATAGGAGCACTAGACGACGACGTAAAGTTCATTTGTATGAGAAAATTGTCGTTTTTGCTATTTCCGTTTTAATTCCATTTCACCTTTCTCGGGCTATAACGAAAATTGATAAAACCGTTATAATCCGGTGTGACAGATTGTACTTTTGTTTTGTTGCTAGGAGTTACCAATAAACAGTTGCGTTTAAATGGCCGTGGCGTTTACTTTAGTCTCCCATAATTCCCCGAATTCCGTGATATTAGTGGCGACCGTTTAATAAAAATCAATTATGGAGGTCTTAAAACGCAAAAGGACGCAACTCCGGCGTGAATTTTCAACCACAGTGAAAAATTTCGAAGAAGCACTCACCGTACCGGAACATGCTCTCGGTATAGAAACTACATTCATCGCAGTAAGAGATGCATCGGAAAGGTTACAGAACGTTGAAGAGCAACTATCAGAAGCATTTTACCAAAGTGAGTCTTTTGATGAAAAATCATTCCAAGATGATCAAGATAAAGCTTTGGAGTACAGAACGAAGTGGGCAGAAATACGTGCAAAGTACGAGATGAGGAGCCACAGTGCGTCGCACACAGAAAACCATATTTCTAGTGTATGTTCTAACGAGAATGAGCGTTTTGTGAGGTCAGAAATTAAGAAAAAGAATCTCAAGATGCCTTTATTAGAACTACCCAAATTCGATGGAGATGTACGTAATTGGATCCAATTTTGGGGTCAATTTCAAAAAATTCATATGGACGCAGATATCAACGGCATAGACAAGTTTCAATATCTAATACAATCAACTACAGAAAACAGTCCAGCTCGTCAACTTGTCCGCAGCTATCCACCGAGTGCAGACAACTATGATAAGGTTATAAATGCACTGAAAGCTCGTTTTGCACGTGATGATATGCTCATAGAAACATATGTTCGAGGTCTGTTAAGTTTAGTGTGGTCTCAGTTAAAAGGTGAGTCATGCAGTTTATCTCAATTGTACGACAGTCTACAAACTCATCTTCAAGCACTAGATACACTAAAAGTAACCAAGGATAAGTTCGCTTCTATATTGTACCCTATGATAGAAAGTACGTTACCCGAAGAGTTGCTTAGATCATGGAATCGTATTCGTTCTGAGCGACGAACAATTACAAAAGAAGGAGATGACGACGATGACTTGAGTTCAATAATGATTTTTCTAAAGGAAGAAGTAGAGTCTGAAGAACGAATAAATTTAGCTCGTCAAGGATTTACTCAGCTTTCATTAAGGAACGTCCCGTCAACTTCATCGCCAAAACCTCCTACAGCTTGTTTTATTTCTGATGTGACCAACAATAACCGTTCAGTTTCGGTGAAATGTGTTCAGTGTTTGTGGTGTGATAAAGATACACATGCACCTACAGAGTGTCATAAAGCTTCGAGAATGACGCCGAGAGAAAGATTAGAGTTTGTTAAATCTAAAAAGGCATGCTTAATTTGCTTAAAAAAGTCGCATAATGCTAAGAAGTGCAAATATTTTCCAAAATGTTTGTTTTGCAAGAAACGTCATGTCACTATAATGTGTCAAAATTTACCAGAGAGTAAAGTATCAGAGTTGAAGTCAGAAACTATTTCAGTACCCATAAAGAAATCGGAAGAGTTATTATGCAAATTAGAAACTACAACTTTATTGCAGACTATAGTCGTGAAACTCGTTTCAAACAATAAAGAGATTTTAGTTCGCGCACTCATAGATACCGGTGCTCAAAGATCGTACATCAAGAATAATTTAGCGAAAGAATTAGGATTGACACCATCACATACGGAGAAACTTACACATTGTTTATTCGGCGGCGTTGAAACTACTTCACATGAACATTTTGTTTACAACATATGTTTGATAAGCTTGTGTAATGATAATTTTTGTATGAATCTTTCTGTTTTAGGACAGGAATATATTTGTGGAGTCTTGCCTAAAGTTAGATCTAATGTATTGATCGAGCAATTAAAACGAAAGGGTATTACTTTAACTGACACAACTTCTACTCCTGATGACGTGACTGTACTTATTGGTGCGGACTTTTCAGGTATGTTAATGACTGGTGATTTTATACAGCTCAAAAACAATTTGACTGCAGTACGTACAAAGGTGGGGTGGACAACACAAGGTCC